TCTCTCTCTCTCTCTCTCTCTCTCTCTTAATCGTTTAATCGTATTTCTCTCAATGGTTTTATGAGGTTTAGAGAGAGGTTTAGAGAGAGAGACATCCAAAGAGAGATAAAGAGAGATTTTCAGAGAGAGTTTGCATTGTGTAAATATAAAGAGGAGAGACAAATGTACAATTGTGTGAAATTGCATGGTATGATTGATACATATTGACATCGGCATTTATGGTAACTGATGTGACTCGATATGTAGATGTGTGTGTGTTCATGTTGTGGATGTTTCTTTTCTTTCTCGTTCTCTCTCCTCTTTCTCTCAGAATCGTTTTTCTTTCTTGCACACATATACATACAGGCAAAGCTCCCTCTCTCTACCTCTCTCTCTCTCTTTCTCTCAATCGTTTTTCTCTCTGGCACACATATACACACACAGGCAAAGCTCCCTCTCTCTATCACTCTCTCTCTCCTTCTCTCTCTCTCTCTCTCTCCTTCTCTCTCTTTCTCTCTCCTTCTCTCTCTCTCTCTCTCCTTCGCTCTCTTTCTCCCTCCTTCTCTTCTTCTCTCTCCCTCTCCTTCTCTCTCTCTCTCTATATATATATGTATGTATACACACATGAGCGAGTAGGGCAATGTCTCTCTCTCTCTGAATCGTTTTTCTCTCTCGCACACATATACATACAGACAAAGCTCCCTCTCTCTACCTCTCTCTCTCTCTTTCTCTATCGCACACATATACACACACAGGCAAATCTCATTTTCTTTATCACTCTCTCTCCCCTTCTCTCTCTCTCTCTCTCTCTCTCTCTCTCTCTCTCTCTCTCTCTCTCAGTCCGGTACTAACCTGTGAAGTGGGCGCCTTGATGCAGGTACCTCGAAGATGGAGCTGGAGCTATGGCGCCGCAGGTAAGTCTCGCTGGCCTCCGCCAGCCATCTCTCCCAACACTACTACGACCACCTACTAGCGCCCAGCGCTGTAGACTACTGCTATGGCTACTAGCGCCCAGCGCTGAAGACTACTGGTAGCGCTAAGCTACTCCTGCAGTGCTCCTCCTGAGTGCTGCGGCCGAATCCTGAAGACTACTCCTGCCTTCTGTCCAACTACCTCCCTGTGAAGTGCATGGGAACTCCCTATGTACTTCTCGGCCTGCCTCCTGACTGCAGGGCGAGGCAGTCCAGGAGGCTGCTCTTGCCAATGCCGAAGGGAGTCAGGGGCTGCCGCTGCAGCTCCTGCTTGAGGCTGTCGTGGGAACAGGCCAGAAATAGCCTGTTCCCGAAACCCTGGTTTTGTGCCTGAGTGTTAGGGTAGGTCGATCTTATGAGGGCCYGAAAGTGGCCCTCCGTTTCAGGCTGAAAAGCCTCAGGGCTGAAAAGCCCTTTTTTAGGCTGAAACGACATAGGGCCTGCAGGCCCTCGTTTTCAGACTTTCAGGCTGAAACGACAGGGGGCCTGTAAGCCCTTATTTCTAGGCTTTTAGGCTGAGAATGCGGAACGGGCCCTGCAGGCCCGTGTGGCTACACAGTATGCCACACTTGCCATATCCATGTCTTTTGAACACCCTATTTCATGATTGCAAAGAAAAAAAATGGAAGCGTGCTCTTTGTATTGGTAGTACTTGGTCAATGACTTACATTAAGTTAATGTCGTGTTGACGATAATGTCTCATATGGAGAGTGTTCAGCATTTCATATTATTTATGCACTACGATTCTATAATGGAATGTGTAGGAGAAGGAAAAAGGGAGACATCAACATCAAGTAGCAGGAGGAGTAGAAGTGTGAAGAGGTTTGACCTTTCTTTTCTCGCTTTTTCTTCTGATGTTGTACTTACTTATCACCTGTGATGACAATCTCATCAACACAAGTAAATGACCCTGATGCTAAGAGTAGGGGGAGTAGAAGGAGGTGGAGACTTGTAAAGAGAAGTTATATCTTCTTTTCCTGGTGGCTTAGTAGCAGCAGTAGGTGCCCCGCGTGCGACGTCAAGACAATTGAATGACAGTGGCATGGTGGGTGACAAGTGGAGAGGGGATTTGGTAGTGTTAATGGTGATGTCAACACTATAGGATGACTCACATGTAGTAGGTGAGTAAGCGAAGGAGAATGTAGAAGGGTCGGGCAAAGAGGATCAGAGAAAAAGGAGGAAAGGGGATGTCTTTCTTCTTTGGAGAATCTGTGTAGGCTCGAGCGATGGGGAGGAAGAAGTGGCGGAGGGGGAAGAGAAGGAAGAGGTCCATCCTTGTTTGGTCTTCTCAACTCGTTTGTCAGGAATAGTTACTTGTTGATGGTTTCACAATTGGACGGGCTTGCAGTTGCAGATTCAACTATTACCAAATGATACATGGAGAAGGAAGTTGGAGAAAAGTAGACAAAGAGGGCGAGAGAAAAGTAGACGAAGAGGATGAGAGAAAAGGAGGGACAGGGAATGTCTTTCTTCTTTTGAAGAGCTATGTAGAGGGAGCGGGAGAAATTGGTGGAGGAGGAGGGAGAGAAGGACGAGGTCTATCCTTGGTTGATCGTTAGACTTGAGGAACATGGGATGGTCTCACAATTGGCGGGGACTTAGAACAGTAAATAGGGAGAGTGAAAGGGGTAGGACTGAAATTGGATGCCGGACGGACTTATGAGAAAGTCTAGAATGAAAAAGGACAAAAGTAGAATTTGGCAGGGACATCCGTTAAAATTGGAACGGTACAGAGAAGATTAGCATGGAAAAAAAAAAAAGAAAAAAAAAAAGCAGGGAGCCAGTAGCATTTTCCGGCAACTCGAGTAGATGGTCCACGGTCCGAATGTATGTAGGTTCCGAATTCGATTAAGGACCTGGGAGTTCATTGCAGGTTGCAATGATGTTCCCCCCAAAGGCAGCAACTTCAGTACACCTAGTGCGCCGGGCAGAGGATGAAGTGCCTAGGAGAAGAGGCACTGGAGGCCAAGAGTCCTTAGTATATCATTTGGTGCAATGAGTAGGGCAGACATTAAACCAGCAGCCATGGCCTCTATGGCTATGTATTATGTTGAGTAGTAGTAGCAGTAGTAGTAGTAGTAGTAGTAGTAGTAGTAGCAGTGGTAGTAGTAGTAGTAGTAGTAGTAGTAGTAGTAGTAGTAGTCCTAGGCTAGGGAGGTAAAGGGAAAAGAATCGCAAGCTAGGCTAGGTGAGGAAGAGAGAGTAGAGGTTGAGGGAGAGGAAGGAGGGAACCGTCAGGAGGAATTTACCTTTGGCTATGGTGGACTTCCTTGGTTGTCGCTGCATGCAGAAGTCCTCTGTTGGGGTACCGGTTGGTGTTGGACCCATCTAGGAGAATGGCTATGGCGAAATCAGATGAGAGAGGCTCAGTAGTAGTTGTGTTGTCCCTTGAACATCCGTGGTGGCCACGGATGAACCACCATGGCTAGATATGCAACCTAGGGATGATCAGTACAACGTTATGTGCCTTTATAGTAAGTTCTTGTAGAATCAGTGGATAGGTGTCTGTTTGCTATCAAGGTGTGGGAGGCAAGACGGGTGCATTTTTGTTGAGGCATAGTCCCAATAATGGAATGCCAAACCTGTGTACAGGATGTGAAAAAAAGTGAAAGATTTTCTGTGTGTTTGCTGTGACCTACCGCATGAGGGAGGAGACCATAGCATCTTAGTCCCCACTTCGTTCTAAGAAGTGAAGTTGGGCACGAGGGGTGTAGTGGCCATAGCATCATAGTGGCCACATTGTGAGGTTTGGAAGCGAGGATGGGTAGAAGGGGAATATTTATGAACCATATCATTGTAGACAAGCTTGCATGTGCCAAACGGTTAGCAGGTGATGCATTGACTGCACTGGGTATGATTTGGGATTGGGTATGTGACAGTGTAGGCAAGGCCCTGGGGGGAAGGGGCGTACCGCGTACCGCCCAGCAACAGGAGGTCTGGAATGAACGCACACACTCCCTCCATGCGCACTCCAAATTGCTTGTGGGCCTTTGTGGCACTAGGCTGGCTATCGTTGATGCCACTGATGTGCTTGCCCGAGCGTACCTTCAATGGTTGGTAATGAGAAGTTTAGCAGGCCTGTGGAAGGACCTGGAAATCACTGACGATGCAGAGGATGACCGTTACGTAACCCCCCTCGTATGTGGTAGTCAACATTCAACTGTCTACTGAGAACCTTGGCTCCGCACCCGCATAGCAAGGCGGCAAGGTTTTGAAAACCGCTGCCACACGTGCAGTACTGGCATATGCATTGTACCAATGGGGGCGCATGGCGATGCATATGGTCACATATTGTCACAGTACATCCACGTGCGAGAGGCGGTTAACGGAGGGCTCAATTTTCAGACAACTTGTCAGGCCATTTATAACAAAACCAAGAAGGGTCGTCGTTTTAACCAAACTCGCTGCCAATCCATAGAGTGGGGATAATACAAGCTACTGACAAAAAACAAACTGAAAAAGTGAAAGTGTGTTTTCATGCAAAATTCACTCTTTTCAGTTTTCAGGATTTTCAGGATTTTTTTCAGGGCTAGCCAAAACAGTAAACTCCAAGACCCCAACAAACACCAAACTTGGCACACACAGACCTTGACAAAAGATAAAACAGCCTAGGGAGATATCCTGGGCGCCTGGGCCGCGATGTCACGCCCGGTTTGGCGACCGGGTGACCGGCCGGGCATGACCCCCGGGCATGGGCTCGGGCAGCCCCTGCGCAAAAAAAAAAAAAAAAAAAAAAAAAAA